TGCTGGGACTCTGCAAACCACCCCCAATTACACCTGCTGACAATCACCAGCCCCAGGGATGCAATTCTTCCTACATTTATGAACTCTGTGCTACCTCAGTGTCCTCTCTTCACCTTTTCAGCCATCCAACACCTGCTTAACCAATTCCTGATATTGATTTCTCTCTGCTGAAATACCCAGTGTGACTTCTGTTCATCCGATAGGACCCTAACTGATATATTATCCATGTGGTCTAAGTTTTCAAATTTATTAGAAGAAAATTATTTATGGTGATCCCTTATTTATTAAAATCTCTGTAGTATCTGTTGATTTGTCCTTTTTCATTCCTAATGCATGCATTTATTTTTACTTAATTTTTGTCTATTTCTGGTAGTCTTTTAAAATAATAATTAGTTTTTGGCATTTTTCCTAATTTGCTATATTGAATACTCTTTCAACCTTTCATTGCTTCCCAATATAAGCATTTTACAGCTATAAATTTCTCATAAATTACTACTTTAGCTGCATGTACGAATTTAGTATTTTAATTCTTCAAGTCTATATATTTTCTGATTTCTATTATAAGTACTCCTTTGAACCAGGAATATGTGTTTTAAAATTTCCAAATATATTGTTTACAAATTATTTTCTTATTGATCTCTAAATTACTTGCATTATGGATAAAGAACTTGACCAGTATGATTAAGTTCTATGATATTTGTTGAGAATTCCACTATGGTCTATTAATGGTCAATTTTTATAAATATTCTATATGTACAAAATTCTCAAACTTGGGGTCACAGATTCTATGTGTATGCCCAGTAGATCAAGCTTAACTTCATTGTTCAAATCTTCCATATCCAAAATTTTTAATTTATTCACTTCTGAGAATGATATATTAGTCTTCTACGGTGATGATGAATTTGTCAGTTTCTCTTTGTGATTCTGTCACTTTTTTTCCTTTAAAGTACTAGAATGCCAGGACATTCAAGGATGTTACAAGGATGTTAACTGCAGCAGAGTATCTTGGCAAAACCCTTCTAAATGTTCATCACTAGTAAATTGGCTGAATTCATTACATGAAATACTATATAGCCACTAAAAAGCATGAATTTGTTCTATATGTACTAACTAAAGGCAGGTCCGTGTTAAGTGAAAAAGGCACGTTTCAGAGTATGTATACAGTGTAAACCAAAAGAATTTCCTCTATTTGTGAACATGTATCAATAATGTTTGCCTTAGAAAAAAGGCAGTTCCTCCAGGGAAGTGACTAGAGCCCGTGGGAAGAGCATTAAGAAATAACTTTGTTTCATTTCACCTCCTTTAATGGCCACCTTTTACTTTGGCAATTTATGGAAAGCAAAAGTGATGATCAGCCCTGGTGAAGCTTGATAGGAAGATATGCCACGAGAAAGAAGCAAGTCACAAATGTTATAATGTGATCTTATTTACTGTAGTGACATTTACATGTTGATATGAACATTAAGGAAATGTCTGGGAACACATTCACTAAATCAGTATTATTATCTCTAAATTTGAGGACTGTGGAGGCTTTTTCATTGTTACATGTCTATTGTTTGCATTCATTTTATACATATACATTAACTGTTTGCCAAAAAAAATAATTTTTTTTATTTGGTGTAACTACAAAAGGGCTATGGACACTTTCAACAAAGAAACTCAAAACTAGAAAAAAAAGTCCAGACACATCAATGCAAACATTTACATGCAATTTCAGGTAGTTAATAGACACTCTGAAGCTCATTTATGGATCAGCTAGGTTTCTGCTCCAGTAGATACAAAGAGAGTTTAACAGCAGAAAAATTGGTTAACCTGCCAATTTCTCCCTTTTTCCTCTGAGGGAGGAGCTGGCTCCAGGGCACAATCTGGGTACTGGACATTGGCTGGACTCTTACCTGTAACGAGGACTCCACCTTCGCTGGAGTGAGATGCTGCTTAAGCCCCTCACACTGCTCTTGCTGTGTGGACACCCGCCTGTGTGAGGTGTGAGCATGGGCCACTGGCCTTGATACATTTTTGGGTCTGTTTCTAACCATCTAGATCACTAATTCTCAAAAGGGGAAGAGAGGCAGGGATATGAGAGAGCAGTTTGTAAACACATATTCAATGTTATAATTTCATCTCTGATAGTAAAAGCTGTTCTTTTCATAATATAAATGTGTCTGGCGGGAGATATGCCACATAGAACTTTAGTTCCAGAGAGGTGAGAGAAGTAGCAGATTATTTTCTTTGAACCATGCTTAGGAGGCTGAACTTTATTCCGAAGGCAGATAGAGGAATTACTTAAAGGCTTTAAGCTGGAAGGTGACATGACTTGAGGCTGTTCAGGACTCCTTTGGCTGCGCGGTGGAGAGAGAGTTGGAGGGGAGCAGGCTGGGAAGTGGGCTTGTGCAGTGATTCAGTTTAAGAGATAACAGGCCTTGGATTCCGGGTAACAGCAGGAGGCGAAGAAATAAGTGCATGGTTTGGAGAAAGAGATATTCGAAAGATAGAATAAACTTGGATTTATTCCTTTGGGGGTGTGGGAACCAAAAAAGGAGTCCAGAGAGATTCCCAGGTTTCTGGCTTGAGCAGCTGGTAGATGGTGATGGCGTATTGATAGAGAATGCTAGAAGCAGCACTGAGGTGTTTGGAGGGATTGGAAATAGTAGGTCCAAAATACGTATTATTTCTCACTCCGTGCCTCTAGGAGATTGACAGAAAGCCCCTGAGCGGATTCCAGGGCTGACCCCCACTTCCAGGTCTCCTGCCATGTTTTTCTGAGAAGAGTAGCAGCTCCTGCACGCCCCCTCCGGTCTGTCTACCCCCCAACCTCTGCTCTGTGAGCCTTCGCCCTTCCCCTCCCTCCTCCTCATCAGCACAGACCGTAGCGGAGGATGAATTTAGGAGAAAGGCACAATGAACAAGGGTTATATCAGCCTGAGGGTAGAATTTAATGATGACCAAACAAGACGCGTATTAATAATTGATATATATCTTTTTATTATGCACAGATAAAGGACTTAAAACTGTGGTTATCAAAACTATACATCTAAGCATGTTCATAAGATTGACGACATACTGAACAGAGAAAAGGGTACAACAGGGGTGCTCAAACTGGCCACAGGGATTTTCAGGGTACTCTTTTTACCCTCATAGATGATGAAAAACAGCAACAAAATCAGGCTCATTCAGGAAAAACCAGAAGAGAGAAGTATTGTATTTGGAAACTGATAATAGTCCTTTTCAGAAAAACATCTGTCAGTTTCATGAACAACCCCCAGCGAAAACAAACAGAAAAAAAAGACACACGAACGAGTCACCCAACAAAATGTGCTCTGTTAACACAATCAGCAGTACAACCATCACTCAAATCATGAGGTAGTTACAGTACAAAAAGACCGGCACGCAGGTGCACACCCCCTCACACACTCACAAGCACGCCCACAACAGAACACACACAGGAAACGGGTTTACAATCTCATTACAGACAAGGAAAAGACCTTTTGTTTTGTTTAGAAAATGCTATAGAAACAGCTTACTCAGAAGGAATCTGACTTTCCAAATACAGAGCAACGGGCTGGTACACACCACACGGTGAAAAGCTATAGGGTATTACACATCTGCCTTCGAGTTTAGAGCATTTCAACAATAGCTTTAGCATCAAATAAATAAAACAAAATGGCCTCTGCAAATGAAGGGTGTAACCTGCAGAAGTAACAGAAGACTTTGCAGATGGAGGAATTTAACTGGAATATAAAAACAGTTTTAAAGAAACTTGTAGGACGTGTTATAAAGTAGAGCTTATACTTTGTATTAAAACTGTGAAGTATGAAGCGACTGGAAATGCTGTAACAGGAAGCTAGGGAGAAAACACAATTTTTTAAAAATGTTCACTTTTTAGAAACATTTCAGAAATACTTAATGATGTTCACTCTGCAGTTAACACAGGATTGGGTTTCATCAACATGAATTTCTTGATCTGAATAATACTTCTAGATAGCAAGACCCAAACAAATAAAAGTTGATTTCTTCTTCTTTTTTTTTTAAATCTTTTGGTTTGCACCCATAAATTTGTAAATTAATTTTAAATTATTTATAAAATCATCGGCAATGTAGCATCTCTCTCAAAAATATACATTTAAATATATTACAAAAGGTTTTAACCCTGTCCATCTAAGAATTGGACCTTTTAATACCTCTTAATAGTTAATCATCTTTTTAACAGGATGGATAGGGATTTTTAAAAAGCAAAGAACTGATCAAAAGAATTCACAGTAACTGAAATTAAACATTTCATATGGAGTAACTTAAATTTATCTAAAACACTTAAATATATCTTTATACACAGATTTTTGTAGTAAAATATAGCTATAAGTGACTTAAAGACTCTAGTCTTCTTTGAAGACATCTTTAAACTTTTTTATACATAGAATATGCTAAAACAATACATTCTGCTGAAGGTTAGGCAAAGCGCATTATTTTCAAACACAGGTAGCATAATCTAGGTCCTCCACTCTGATACCTTTATGTTAAAAAAAGTTAACTGAAGGCAAAATTTTTTCTAATCTCCTATCTTCATTTGTCTGTGAAAATCTGCAAAATTATCAATATAGATAGCCTGGAAATCTTAGCCCGCAATCTTGTTTTGATTAAAATCATCCTGATTGAATGTCTGTAACTATCAAATCAATCAGAGCATGACTCCATGATGGGTTAACGATTGTCAATCTCTACCTATTTGCCTTGTAGACACTGCCCTCAGGTCTCAGGTGACATCAACATTTCCTACTCAAGATTCCATTCACAGTGAACCAGGCACAACTTCCTTATTTTAAGAGCAGTTAGATTTGCTTATGAATAGTTTGGGGGTAGAATCTAGCCTGTTCTATTTGTAGACTTCTGAGTTGTTTGGGAGAATTCTGGAAAAAGAATAATATTTATTTGCAATGAAGTTACCTTCAGTAGTAAATGATTTGGCATGGACATTTTCCTCTGGCATCTTTTTTTTTTTTAACATAGAGGTATCAGTTGAGCTTATTTTAGCTGCAAAGTGGTATCATATTATTCCATTTTAATAAAATTCACCTCAAATTCTTTTTGAGTTTTGGGGGTATATTGAAGGCAAGAGAACTAAAGCAATCCAAATGAGTGTCTTTTTCCGTATCTCATCAGTTTCTTGGCAGAACTGGTGACACTGTTCAGATAACCAACAGTCTGCCATACATTTGCATCTTACAAGAGCTTGGCGTTTACAAAAGGGTCTATTGAAAAGGTTGACATGTTTTGCATGGAAACACTAATTCTCTCAAATATATTTAAGAATAAGTTCCAACTCTGAAGGTGTAGGACATTTTTAAAATGGGAATGAATTTTCTCTTCTTAAAACTGAAAAAAACGAATGTGCCAAATGACGTATTATATACTTGTACTGGTACATATATCACTGTGCAAATTCCTCCTCAACTTTACAACTGAATTTTGCCCCCATTTACACATTAATGTAATAGAACACATTGTCATAAATGGGCACAAATCTTCAGTCTCAGATTTTGGCCATTTTCAATTTCTATATGCCTGTAAAGAAATGCAAAATTTACATTAAGACATTTTTGCATTTGGTGTGTGAATGTGGGGAGAAGGAGGAAGCTGATAAGGAAATCAGCACTGGTTTTGGCCCAGGGCACAAGAAAGGAATGTTGCCTTGAGGTGTGTCAGGATGCAGTCCGTGAGGGCAGCACACATCAAGCCGACGCAGCAGTCCCCACAAGTGTGGCAGCAAGGTGAGCAGTGTGCATTCAGAAGGTGCAAATTAGAAATGGAGGAACACACTGAGAAAGTCTTGAAGCATTTCTGTTGTTTTACATCTTGGTTCAGTTATAAAAGAATCTTTGGCCACATCTACTCACGGGTTCTACTATCTGGCTATTATCCTTTTACCAACCCTTTGCGTCTGGGTAAAACGCAGGGCTCCAAATTACAGATGTTCTTACCTGGACAAAGCAGCATTTTAAAAACTGGCATGTGTTTCACATTGAAGACCCCCAAGCCTGTGAGGGGCTGGTGGAGAAGGCCACCACCTTAGCTTTCTCACATGAATCTAGTGTGTTACAGAAGCCCAGGGGTCACATTTATATTAGCCCTGGGTGGGGGGTGAACACAACAGGTGATCGCTACATTGAAATTCACTCTCTTTACCAGGGACCCACAGTCTAGCCTCCCGAGTCTGGAATCTGGGCCCAGGTGTGGGCTCCCAGTCCTGCCCTTGGCGGTGGGTGGGGCAGGCTAGGCTGTGCTGCTGCTGGAGCAGGGCGTGCTCTGCGTGCTACCGATGCTGTGTGCAGCGCTGCTGTTTTCCGAGGCTGGTGGGGAGGTGGGGACCTGCTGCCTTCCTGCAGTCTCTCCTGCAGTTAATGAAGAAAAGGGGTGAGGAGAGATGCATGTTACACATGTGTACTTCTGAAAAGACCTTTTTCTCAGTTTTTGTTTTATCTTATTTAGTTATTTTTTTAACATCTTTTTTGGAGTATAATTGCTTTACAATGGTGTCCTAGTTTCTGCTGTATAACAATGAAAAGCCCATTTTCTCTGATGCTCTTCTCATCCATGGGCAGAAGCAACTAGACCAAAAGGCCTTGTACCATAAGGCTGTTCTGCTTGTGGGTATTTTATTTTGGTTTTAAAGCCTCTTGCATGCGGAAAAGAGAACTGATTTCAAGCGGACTGACAGTTAACAGAGGCAAAGACCACTGATAGTTGAGGATGAACGCCCAGGATTTCAGTGCCTGCAACCTTTGAAGACCACCATCATCTGTACTGTGTGATCCAACTGACTAGCACCTGTATTCAGGAAACACCTCCTCTCATAAAGGTATCGTAGGGTTCGGAGAGTGAGACCTTTAAACTGTAATAAGAGAATCTTGGCAATTTGGAGGCCTTTTTCTGAATACCCCTGGTCGAAATAGGGGTAGTGACGGCTAGGTTTCGCCCTAGCTACAGCGGAGAGAGCACCGTGCACGGAGCACATGACCCGCCTGAGAAATGGAGGTATAGGAGGAGCCTGCTCCCAGAAACACCTTTTGAAGAAGGGGCTTAGCTGTTGCACAAGGGGACTGTGGTTGCCAGGCAACAGCCCCTCCGTTCGGAGGTTTACTGCAGGGTGCAGCCTGAGTTATCTCCTCACACATCAAGCACCCCACTTTTCATCACACACCCCACTGCATTTCAGCAAAGCCCATACCTCACGCCAAGCGCGCAGGGCTGTGGGGATGGGGGGGAACCTTGGGTCACACAGATGGTCTGCATTTAGCGCTGCAAAAGGCTCTCGAGCGGCCTTTTCTTCAACAAAACTGGCCTCAGGGCAGCCCTCAAACAATGGCTCTAGGTAGGGAAAAGTGATCAAGGCTCTCTGATGACAAACACTGCATTTTCTTCGAAAAGTCAAAGCATCAACTTCCTACACTTCTGGTCAGCGATCTCCCCACTCCAATGTGGGAAGCCCCAGAGGGCCAGGTCTGTTTATGAATGAGCCTCCTCTTTCCTGTCAGGCAGAAATATACAGCACTCCGCAGTTGATAAGCAACCCTCTGGCCTCTTCCTTAAAACAAAACACACCAGCAAAGGCTCTGCCCTCCAAGCTCAGGAACTTAGCCCGTTACTTCCATTCCCCTTTTGGGGCCCCTCAAAAGCCTCTGCCAAAACAGCAGTTCTACAAAACGTAGAGGCAGCTCATGCCTCTGGGTCTGGTTACAGCTTTCCCTGTCGCCCATTTATGAACCACACAGCTACAACACACATTCTGGCCTCAACCTCAGGGCCTGCATATGCTTGCTGCATATTTGGCCCTTGCTGTATTTCCTCTGATTATCTGTTCTTCTGGGATTGGTGGGATGGAGAGGGGAGAGCAGGTCAATATTCCTCAGAGGCAGAGAAACAATGTATTTTTCACTCTTCTTTTTTTGGCAATCCATATTTTGGACCCTTTCCAGCATTACCCTCTACCCTTCATGTGTGCATTTAGTTCAAGGTGGGGAAGTCTGCCTCAATGACAGTGACTTTCTGCCAGAAATCCACTTTCCCCAGAGTGGGAACTTTATTTCTAAAAGGAAATTAAATCTGTTAGCTATTCTGAATTATGTCTACCCCCTCCCACCCCCAAAAAACCCCAAATCCTCCAGAGACTAGAACAACTCGTGATATACTTTACAAATTCAGCCCCCTTACAACCCACATGTTGAAACATACCCAGCTGGATTCTCAGGTTATCAATTAGCAGGACTAAAGTGGCTGTATGTGAAGCACATTTTAAAAATATCTTTTCCCCATTTCAATAAAGGATCCGTCAGAAAAGCAGGAGGTAAGTCAATATACCCTACCTCCCTGTTTTGGCTCACCTGGGTTTCGTTCGTTCAGCCTGATAGCAGCTAAAGCAAGATGGCTTTGGCTGTTCTATCGACAGTGAACAGGTCTGTCTCATCCCAAATGTGACATGTGCTTGATTATTCACATTCAGGAAAAGTGCCAGTACTACTCCCTGCCCAGGAAGTCTGAATATTTGCTTTCCGATGTCTATTTGCCAAATATAATTTGTTGTCATGTCAGTTTATTTTAATCATTGCCCATTAAAAAGGTCTTTCAACTTCCAGAGTTTTGGAAACTCTTGCGCTGCTAATACAAAACACCGTCCAAAATGAAACCCCAAGCAAAACAAAACAAAGTAGTCCCCTATACTCAAGACTACAGGATACATTTCACCAGGGTGGACAAGTCAACTTAACCTAATAATCTGCTGGCTTTGAGAAAACAGTGTGCCAAGGAGTACCTTTTGGAAATGTTGAAAACAGCTTCTTTAGACTATCTCTTCTAGCTCTGTGTCTATTTTCATGTGTGAGATGTGAGATTTCTCAGTATAACCAAGTTGTTAAAAACTTTTAACTTTGGAAAAACTTTTACCTTTGGAAAAACTTTTACCTTTGGAGAAATCAAGAAAAGTTTTCTCATTGTCAGATGCAAGTGGCACTACAGAAAAATTCACCATGAGAAAGGAAGTTTAATGTGCAGATGTTTCTGCTTAAAAAGCCAGCAGAGTCCCTTAGGTTTTCTAAGATGGGTTCTTTGGTTTTCTGCTCTCTATCACAGTGACCTCTGATTTCTTGGAGCACTGAGTTTCTCTAAAATATCCCTTGGGTGACAAATACAACTGGCCTACTTCTGGAGAAGACGGATGGTCAGGGAGGACTGCAGGGCTATGCACAGCAGGCGCACTTAGAGAATGCAAGTTCAAGGAAGGCTCCCTGCTCATAAATATCAAACTTGGCCATCAGAAGAAATGTGTTCAGTCTTCATGCTTTGCTCCTAAAATCTGAAACCACCGAGGAAGAGATATTTGAGAAGGAGAGTGAGTAGGGGAAAGAGGCATCTGGCACACGGGATACTCAGGAGGAAGGTGTGTTAGGACAAGGATTCATTCCACCCAGCTCAGTGTGAGTCGGTGGTATAATGGTGAGCATGGCTGCCTTCCATTCCACCCGGCTCACATATTAGCCTGTGGCTGAGCTTAGATATTGCCAGAGATGCTTTTAAGAAAAACAAAAAAACAAAAAAAAACCCACATAGGGCTTCCCTGGCGGCGCAGTGGTTGAGAGTCCACCTGCTGATGCAGGGGACGCGGGTTCGTGCCCCGGTCCGGGAAGATCCCACATGCCGCGGAGCGGCTGGGCCCATGAGCCATGGCTGCTGGGCCTGTGTGTCCGGAGCCTGTGCTCCGCAATGGGAGAGGCCAAAACAGTGAGAGGCCCGCGTACCGCAAAAAAAAAAAACCCACATATTTTAAGGGATAACCTATTTCCTTTCTTTAGCTTGGCATGGAGCGGTCCAGATCCGATTTCCTGCCACGTCTTTGGCAGTCTACTTTACAATTAGATTCTTATCTCTTAAATCTTTCACCATGGCAGGTCCTGGGGAAGAAACTTAATCTAAAGACGTGAATAACATGGAGAAGCTCTACGGGGAAACAACAACAGAAGAATTTTAAAGAAAGGTGAGAGGAATCTCAATTATTTAGCCCAAAGCAGACAGTTTGCAAATATTGCCCACAGAGGATTATTACAAAGAGGAGCAGACAGGTGTACTGCTCCCTGGAGAGCAGTACATGAGGAAATGAGTTTAAATGGCAGTGACAGAGATTTAGGTCACATAGCAGGGAACTTGCTGATTATGAGGACTGGTTAGTTATAGCGGGAATTTATGGAATTTCTTTCTTGAGAGATATTTAAGCATTGGATTGAAAACCATATGCCTGGGGGTGACTTAGACCTAATATTACTTGATGCTGCAGAGAAAACAAAGATATTTTTCTCAAGGCGTATGTGTTGGTTGCAATTTTGTACCAATTATTGTCTCTTGATATCCTAATTATAATTATTTCACAAGCTCACTCCAATAAGGAGAGTGAACTAGACCACCTTTAGTTTAGAGAAGCTTTCAACCACTATTCATCATTTTCAAAAATTGTCCCTCCTCACTTTTCAAGCTAAAGGACTTTCCTGTTGTAGGCAAAACTCTGCAGGAGGGGTGAATTAGATGTTATTATAAGTTATGGAGAGAGGTTCCAAGGCAGGAAGTAAAATCTTTCAAAATGTTCTGCCTCCCACTTTCTTTCTATATTCCCACAATATGGCCAACCTGTTCGCACCCGCACTTTGGTTTTCTGTAGGCATCCTACTTTAACTTAACCTGAGCACTTGGGTGAAAAGAGTGGATCCTGCCCTCTCTCCAGGCATACCAGGGTTCCCATCTGTCCCACCTGCATCTTTCTGATCCCTGGGAGTTAGTCTCTTGTCTCCTACTTAGTCCCACTTTAGCTGATCTTCTTGCTGTTTCTTTCTTCACCTGGACTAAACTGGGGAGCTTGGAGAAACTTCAGATGTCTGAAAGCATTTGAAGCCTCCAGAGATGCTCCTAATTAAAAGGAGCATCCTAATTACCTGACTCAGGTGGACCCGGGTTTGTGCTTGACTTCTGCTTTAAGAACATACAGTGTGTTCAACTCAGGATCATTGAACAGAAGCCCGAGGGATTGGGACAGGCACACCTAATTCAACACCTCAGCTTTTTACTTTGTTCTGTGAAACACAGTGTTCCTTCCACACTTAGATTTTTTTCTGCCTGCACATATGAGCAACCTTACATTTTTTGGAGGACTTTGGAGTTCAGAAAACTTTTCACTTGCATTTGTTTGAATACTCTCACCTTCATAACCCTGTGAAGTACAGATCATCTCTATGTTTACTAAAGAGAAACATGGTTCATACTCTTGGCTCAGGTAACAAGATTAGCAGTTGAACAAACTAGCGCTTCAAGTCCAATTTCTGACAATAGCCCACACTTAAGGTGGTACAGATAC